ATTTTAGTTGTTTTGTTTAGTCTTAATTAATTCATGTGTCAGGAACATGTCTGGGTCAATTCTGGATTCACTCTAAATTAACAAGAATCCTCCCAATTCTCAGATTATCGGATTACATTGTATCATGCTTATATATATATCTATCAATCTATCAATCTATCTATCTATATATATATATATTCTCTGAACTTTTTCAGACATGTGTATATATTTAATAATAATAATTTATATATCATTGGCCTACTATTTTTGGGTGCATCTCAAAGAGAAATGTTCAGATCATATTTAATCTTAAATTAATGTGTGTGTGTGTGTGTGTGTGTTCTTGTTTTTATTACATTGTGAGGACCAAATGTCCCCACAAGAATAGTAAAACGTGAAATCACCTACATTGTGAGGACTAGCCAATGGTCCCCACAAGGGAAATTGATTAATGAACATACTTAATGATGTATTTTAGAAAATGTAAAAGAGCAGAAAGTTTTCTGTGATGGGTAGGTTTAGGGGTAGTGTGTGTGTGTGTGTGTGTGTGTGTGTGTGTGTGTGTGTGTGTGTGTGTGTGTGTGTGTGTGTGTGTGTGTGTGTGTGTGTGTGTGTGTGTGTGTGTGTGTGTGTGTGTGTGTGTGTGTGTGTGTGTGTGTGTGTTGAATAAACTAGTGCTGTCATGAAAATAATCCTACAATGCAAAAATCTAAATGTTCCTCACATCATTTTCTTTATTCAAACTACAGTATCTAAAGTAAAGTAAGTAACTACCCAGAATACCACAGCAACCACTTAGCAATTATTTTAGAAAGGTTTATTATTGAAAGAAACTTTATTGTTATTATTTAAATTATTTCTTTTTAGATTAAATATAATAAGAACATTTCTTCTTGAGATGCACTTAAAAATAGTCGGCTAATGTACACTGTAATACACATGAATCCTTGAAAAAGTTGTATAAGGTGTAGGCTAAATTATAATTACAAAAAAAGTTCTTTACCTTCTTATCAAAGACTTTGAAGGCCATGCGTTCTGCATCTTGATATGTTTAGCCTCTTTCGTGGTACAGAGCCATAACCCCATGCCTTTACCTGTCAAAACAACATTTTATTATTAATATTAATAGTATTAAAACGCATTTTATCCAACATTAGTGTTGGTATGCTAGCCGCTGAATGTGGGGAAACTAATCCTTGATTAAACTGAATTGTTGACTAAAATTAATCCAAAAGATGGATGGATTATGATTGATGTCATTTTAAAAATGGCCTCAAGACCAAAGCACATCAGTTGTCTAATGTTTTGTAACAATTATTAAAATGTGTTCACTAGACTACACAATCTGCAGATGGCGTCGTTCATATGCTATTTAAAATCTCTTCCTGTCAAACGCTGCCTCCTAGCGGTGGGGTGGTGACAGTGCGGCAGTGCTTATCCGCTATAATCCTCTTATTTGTGCTTATGAAACACAAGCCAAACTGCTCTCAAATTAACTGTCTAACATGCTAAGAGTAAATATAATCCTTAGTTACAAGATAATAAATGTAAGCAACACTCAGTGTACCATATGCGATTTTTTTTACTTAATTTGCCCAAGTTTGATTTAATGTCCCTTCCAATGATTTTGTATTAGATTTTTCAGTGCAAATTATATTATTACATTACTTGAGTAAAAAAAAAAAGTTAACGTTTGAAAAACTTTTCATGTATTTCAGACATCCATAATTTTTCCTGTTTATTTGCAGGCTAACACCCCACAAGCATGACTTGTTTTTAGAAATCAACCTTTTTTCAGTCTGTCTTATGAGAAGAATATCAAAGGCATTCATTAAAAAACATATTCTTTGAGTACATTTTATTTTCTTCACATAAATAAATAATCCTATATCTCTGACTTCTCATTTCTCAAGTGGCAGTGTTTTTCTCAGACAAGTTATGTTTTAATCTTACATGTTATATATTGTAATATATGTATTAAATAGTATACAAGACATTATGATCATGGTAATGAATACGAAAATCATGCAGTATCATGACATGTTCTTGACAGGTTCGAAATAGGAAATTATATTTTTTGTAAAGAAAATGTAGACTATTTAGGACCACTAAAATTGTTTTGCACTGTGACATTATTTTCTTGACAGATAATGTTCCCTCTTAACTCTCATTACCATGAAGTCTAAAACCGACTGTCATTGCTATTTGTTCATTCAGATGGTTAAAGATCAAAACAATATTTTTTGTTATGTGCAGCTGTAATATATGAAATATTTTGCTAATAATGATATGAGCACATTAAAGTTCACATGCAAAGGCATTTGAAACTATTTTACAACCATATTGTGTTGTATTTCTGAGTATTCAGCGAGAACTTAGAATAAATGGTAGGACTTGATTTTATCCAATGGGAATGAATTGATCCTTGAGCCGTCTCTATATGACAGGTGTTTTGAGAGGAGGGGGTGAAAAATAAGATTTGTGATGTTAGAGCAAAAAGGGAAGCAGAACATTTGTTTCATGTTGTAGATATTCATCACACATTGACCGCGTCGCTTTGATACACTAATAACTCAGGGTTCAAAATCTGGCGAACTAAAAAAAGATGTTCTGGATCATTTTACAAAAGCTCCCCTCACTGTCATTGTACGAAAGGTGGAAATTAATAGTTCTCAAAATAATTGCTTTTTGATCCTCAAATGTTAAACATGTCATGGTTATTTTTGTATTTGGCTCATAATACCATGGTATTCTCTGAAGTACCTTGGAATACAATGCAAATTCCATGGTCAGTGATGGTGAACTCAACACACTATCAACTAATTATCCAATGGACATACCATTATAACACCATGTTTAACACTTACAAAACAAGTACTAAAATGTACAATGGTCTCTCATGTACCTCCCCTCAAAATCTTCACTTTCCTCTGGTTTCACGGACAAAGCTAGTCCCAGACTAAAATGCATGTTTGAACTGTTTTGAACCCTAACCTTCATATAACCTGCATTTGAATATCTTAAAATATGTCAGTGAGATTGCTTTGTCTCAAGATGAACACCAGTAATTTTTTTTCTCAGGCACATTTATAAAAGATTTAAATGTCCTAAACGAAGGCTGACTTAGAAAAAAAGTGTAACAACTAGCCCCAGTCTTCTTGCGCAAGTGTAATTTAACCCCTTAACTGCCCCCCCTTTTTGTTTAGGCGCTATAGACGGTTTCATCGAACGCACGCGCGTTGCCCGGGTTACGCGCTGGCCCGAAGTTAACTTCCGGTCTGTGTTTGTTAACCGGTAATATCATAATATCATAATATCATTCTCTGGTAATATGGCGCCGACTACAAACGCAGTGAAAATTAAGGTGATGAGCAGACTGAAGTTGGGCTCAGGTTGTTGTGTTGTGGGATGCAACCTGAGGCTCTGGGACAAATACCTTATCAAAAATAAAAAAATTCCTTTTCCTAAAAACGAAGGGAGACGGCGAGCGTGGATCACCGCTGTGCGATGAGAGGCTTGGAAGAATTCAAGGATCTGTAGCACTCACTTCGTTACAGGTAACAAACTCATGATAAGCAACAGATAATTATGGAAGCTTGTTTCCGGCCATGAAGAATAAAAAAATAATAATAATTGAGACTTTTTATCTCATAATTGCGAGATAAGAAGTCAGAATTGTGAGAAATAAAGTTGCAATTCTGAGAAATAAAGTCGCAATTGCGAGAAAAAAAGACAGAATTGAGACTTTTTATCTCACAATTCTGACTTTTTTCTCACAAAAAGTCTATGGTTTCTACAGATGAACTCTGTTGTTATTGACTCTACCGGAAGTTAAGTTTGGGCCACAAAAGCGCGCATGCGCAGTAACGTTTGTTTATGTTGTTGCCGTTGAAACCGTTTATAACAAAAAATAGCCACCGGGTGTCAAACACATTCCATTGAATTCTCCTGTAACAAATTAATCAATTTCTGTCCAAAATATCACTTCTATCACAAAATATGGAACATGATGATATGTGGTTTGTCAAGATTAGAAAAGGTTTTGATAATAAAGTCATTCAAAAAAAAATGTTGTAATATGAAACAGGAGTGCTAAAAGAATTCAGAGTAGCCTACCGTTTCCATGGTAACGCAAGGTTCAATTTCAAAACGGTTTTCACAGGATGAATTTTGAGTTTGTAAGCAATCGGAGGTATGGAAGCTTGTTGCTGCCACAGAGATATAAACAGGCAATTGCAAGAAAAAAAGTTATTTGCGAGTTATACAGTCAGAATTCTGACATTTTTCTCGCAATTCCCAGTTTATATCTCTGACATTATATCAAGCAATTCTGACTTTAGCCTATATCTCGCAATTCTGAGATTAAAAGTCAGAATTGTGGGATAAAAATTCGCAATTGGGCTTTTTATTTTGAACTCTGTGGCGGAAAGAAGCTTCCATAAAAATGATTTAATTCTGACTTTTGTTCTCGCAATTCCAAGTTTATATCTCGCAATTCTGACTTTAAAACTCGCAAATAACTTTTTTTCTTGCAATTGCCAGTTTATATCTCTGACATTCTGACTTTATATCTCGAAATTCTATGGTTTCTGTTAATTGCGAGTTTTTCTCGCAATTCTGACTTTATAACTCGCAATTGCGACATATCTCGCAATTCTGAGATTAAAGTCAGAATTGTGGGATAAAAAGTCGCAATTGGGCTTTTTATTTTGAATTCTGTGGCGGAAACAAGCCTCTATACGAATGATACCCAATGTACGATGATTACTAAAATATGCAATAAAGAAGGCGATAAACAAAAAGAGCGCCAATTAAGCGTCCTGCTAGCGTTTTGAATGGCATATATTTGTATAATGACAAAAAGTCAATGTAAATAAAATCAAAAAGACGATTAGCTCCCAAAATGTACATTTGTGTGTACAAATGTTGCTAAATTGTCTTGGAAATGTTTGTCAATTCCATTCCTGCGTAAGAGCGCCGCTCGCTCGCTGCGGCGTGGGGTTTCCCAGGGCAGACTGCAGGGTTACCGCGCCCATCTCCGTCTGATGGCCGGATGAGAGGTGAACTCAACTGGAGAGAAGTGCTCCTTCAAGGAAGGCAACGGGAAGTGGCCACCGACGGACTTATTCTTTGTCAAAAGTCTCTAATCGGACATTTATGACTGCCGTTTTTCATCGCAGTTGAGATCCCCCTCAAACAGGCTCATTCCCCGCCCGCTGGAGCGAGTTTTGTCGCTGTGGAAGTGGATTCGGTACTTCTCCCACTGCTAGTTAGCGAGCTAGCTCGTCTTGTTCGTTGATGCGTGGATTTGACAGCCACACCATCGTTTATTTCGGTCAATGCCATATAAACAAAGGCCATTTACGACTGAGAACAGGTAGGGAACACTATATGCTTATTTTAAGTGTGTGGAACAGGTTGTTTGGTTTAAAACGGATGAATTTGTTGGATAAAATGCTGGTCACCATAGAGAATGAAGGGGGGGTGGGGTGAGGCGCAGGTAACTAGCGGCTAGCCGACCGATTTACATACACAACAATGCTAGGCAAATGGGCAAAAACAGTTATTTTAATCGGTTATGTGCGCTTATATTTCAGTATTTAGACTTTTTAGAGTGTTTAATCGTTCGCTCCTTCATTGCAGTGTGAATGATGTCGGGTGACTTCACTTGAGGCCGTTTTGCTCGAGTCAGCTTGCTAGCTGGCATTAATGTTACCTCAGAAATTAAACCGATTGAGGGAATTCTGTCGTGTGGTGATTAGGAATGTTTTAAAGGGAATACAAGTTGATTTTGATATAGAGTGGTTAGGGTTTTGGTTGAGAGGCTGGTCTATAGGCTAACTGGCTAATTACTGGAGCTTCTGCTGGCAAAATATTCTGCCTTTCAACCCAGCTAGGCCTTCCTCTATGTTAACGCACAGAATCGAGCATTTTTTTGTTCGCCAAATGGTGGTTAACACATTGCCGTGTAAGTTACTGAATGTGAATATTGATCGAATTGCAGTCGGTAAATAAGGATTAGTCATTTATTTGTTCACCCGATTATGTAGTAACGTTAGTATCTGCACCAGCTGGTTAAGCATTACAAGCTATTCTACTGTGCGGTTTTTCCATATGTATTTACGTGCCAATGGATTTATTACTGTGTCCAAATGGCTTAACCTGAAATCCAGTGTGCATTTAAGCGACTTGGCGTGAAAGAGTTAGTCTTTATTGCATTAAGTGTTTTAACTACTCTTTAAAACAACCTAATTGGATTCCATTATCTATCTCCAAGTCTCTCTTTAAAAGGCCTTGCTGTTCAGGTAACACATAACGTTAGGTGCACTGACTCCCTTTCCCGACATCTCAGTGATGCTCCACTAAGATCCTCCCTAAACTGCTTTTGCTGATGATAAAGGCATGTTAAATGTGTTTTCTCCCGCGATCCGGCCAACATTTATCACAGTAATGCAGCAAAAAGCACTGCACCTCTTCAGATACGCGGAATGAATGGAGCTTGATGGCCTTTATTATCGCTGCTGGAATATTTTAAGAACGGGCGAGCAGCTCAGTATTGAGGTCACTATTAAGGGATTGGTCGGGGAAATATAGGCTATGGGATAAATATGTTTCGCCCCCTCCTTTTCCCCCTACCGATCGAGTTTGCCTTTCTCTTCGGCTGGCATTTAGATAAAGGAACACCGTTCATGAATAAATAAACGGAATCAATGAATTCTTCAATGTGGGGCCCAAGAACAAGATGGCGTCCGTAGCCTCTCTCTTTCTCCGGCTTTCCTCTCCGCACTCATATCAGCATGCCGGTGATTTAACCCGCTCAAACGTCGAGGAAATGCAACGTTCCGCTATAATAAACACTGCAGTTTGTTTTCTAAACGAGCCTTGGAAAATATTTCAATGCAATGTTGATCAATTTTGTAATTAATATCTCTTTATGTGCTCCATATCCGTCATTTTACACCAAATTAATTGTGAAATAATCGCATATCGAATAGTATTTCGAGTACTCTGTGACGTAATCGTTGTGCTTTTAAATGCTCTGCACTTATGTTGGTATTTTGTTAGTAGAGGTTTCTGTATTCTCTTGCTCACAATAGCATGTTGAGTTTAGGTAATGCTATTTTAAATGGTTTATAAATTTAAGACGGACGCAAAAAGGTGCTGCACTGCAAATATTGATTTTATTATGTACTTTCACGTTGGATCCATTGAAGTTGATATTCATTGAATGTTTCATATATTTTATTCATTGTTAATTTTTATATAAACGTTGTATTTACTAACGCATTGTTTGTAATCCACATGCATTTGCATGTTGGGAAAGTTTTATGTATTATCTGCATTGTTTGCTTGACAATTTTGCTTTGAATACACACTAACATTGATTTTTTTTTTTTTTTTTTTGCATTTGTGGGTAACTAAAAGCATCAGTTTGATTCCCATTGGACGCCTTAGAAGCTGATAAGTGGATGGTTGTAATGGCAAAATTGATTTCTGTTCAGATAATGGAGTTTCTGAATATCTTTTTTTATTTTCATGCTGACTCCCATTTGTTCAGTTCAGTTATTCAGATATGTATTTCTGTTCAGTTATTCAGATTACTTTATTTGTATCTCCTAATTCATGGTTTGAAGGAATGAAGGTTTCCAAAAAGCTGAAGCACCTTGTTTTTTCCCCCCCTTCATTTGTACTTGAACAATATGTAGAAGTCATTAAGATAAGTATTAAAAGTAGTGTAAATTGTTGAATTCAGAGTGCAAGCTCTTCTGAAACAGTAACACAAATTCTTAGACTGCATTCCCAGCTCTGGACAGCTGTTTTTTCCATGAGTGATGCTGAGAGGGATTACAGATTTACTGTAGGTGGATTTTAGCTTTTAGGATTACAGGCTTGGATAGTGATAGTGCTGGTTACTGTCTTTTCTATGATCCAGCTTTAGCGATATGCATTTTATTTTTCTTCTGTTAATGCCTAATATGCTGCATAATCCTCAACATTTGGAGTAATTTATGTTGATGGAATAAAGTTCTGTTTGGAGATCGGGGCGGTGTGTGTTATCAAGTAAAACGTTTTTAGTGTGTTGTTCAGATCATTTACAAGGATTTGGTCAAGTAAATGTTTTCTAAAAGGATCTAATAAAGAGTTGCCCTAAAGTGACCTGAGAATACGTAGTCTGTGGCACCTTTAGGCCATTTCTTACAGCTCTCTTTTTGTCCTGCAGTCAGCTGACTCTGATCAAGTGTTTGTTGAGAGGGTGAGATTGAGCTCTGCTAGCACATATGTTGATGCCATACTGCATTCAACCATTTGACTTTGCTTTGTGCTATCTTATACTCTAGCCTTTGGCGTAGAATATGGAGTAATTATGTATAAGTTTCATTTTAGCAGACAGTAAAAGGAAAAGTTGTAACACTGAACTACATCATGAGCAGGGTTCAATGTTTGAATATATTGATGACCGTAACATTATCAGATGATATAATGTTAAATCTTTTTTTAATTTTTTATTATCAGGTATGATTTATAAGCTGATACTGTAAGGCTGTAATATCTAGGCTTATTTTTCCCATATCTTGTTTTCAATGAAAATAACAGTTAATTGTCATAAACTGTTCATTTTTTTTTACTCTTTAAAAGTGATCCGCATTACTCTGAGAAGGGCAGCTGTTAATATCTGAGTTTATTTTTAGCAGTTAAAGTAGGTTTTTCCCCTCCTGTTTTTAATGAAGTAAATGAACAATTATCAATCTTTTCTTTCTTTTTTTAGATTTGCATTGGTCTGATATTGGAATGCATGATATATCTGCCACCATATCGGTATTCTCCGATATATGTTCATTTTTTAATGTTATCATTATCGGCCCTATAAGAATTCTTTTCAATAAATAATGCATTATTTTCTTAAGCTGAGACACTTCAGTTGCACACGGTTTGCTATAATGGGTTTGAATTGCATGAATGTATGATTGGAATCACTTCGAAAAGGAAAATACAGTTAAAGGCACAATATGTAGGTTTTTTTCACCACAAGAGGGCGCAGTTTCCAACAATAACAAAGGCGTAGGTTGATGACGCAGTGATGAGCTGAATGATGGGACTTGCTGTCAAGCTGATGGATCTAATAATGTTTATGGATGAGTGCAAACATTCATGCTTTTTAACATTACAGTGGTATGAAGCAGGTCGCGATTGCTAAAGAGACAGATATCACACGCGAGTCCCGCGGATATAAAGGAATAAGGACATTTAATTCTACCGAACTACTCGTAAGTGCTGGATTATTCACACAGGTCAGTTTATTAGACGAATTAAACTTGTGAGGTAATGCAGCGCTGCTTCACTTTGTCTAACGTTACACTATCACACTAAACGGCATTTAAATGTGTGTTAAAAGTTATAATGTTATACTACATGTTAGTTCATTTGCTATACGAAACTAGCAGTAACGTTAAGCTACACATTAGTAGGGCTGTCAACTTTAGTCGTTTAGTCGACTAATCGGTCGATGCCGTCTTGGTCGACTGACATTCTTATTGGTCGACCAGTTGCATTTTTTTTTTTTTACCAATAGAAAGAAATTTTCAATGATTTACTCCTTGATATTTATTCCTTTATAAGCAGTTAAATATTACTGTATTCTAAATATAATTAGCCTATGGTTTATCCCCAACTTTAAATGCTTTAATTTAGGCTATTTTGTAACAGCGCCACAGTTTAGCGCACACACATAGAACACTCGGTTCGCACCTGTGGCTGGCTGCGCTGCTGCTTCGTGCTCAGTAAGGGATATAGGTAGTTTAGCTGTATTCATTCAGTTAGAACGCTACTTGTTTCGGTTTTTATGTTTTTATACACTATATGTTTGTATCTCGATGCGGCGTGGACGCACTTGGAAAAAAAAGAGCGCGTCGACTCGCACCGCGACCGTTGCTTCCATCATTAGCGCACACCGCGCGCCTACATTTGAAATCGAACTTGAGCGCGCAAAAGACGTGAGCAGTCCCTTTAACGGCTTTATCATGCTGACTCAATAGATTGTGTTTTCTTGATATGTTTTTGTTTTTATTTGTACACTTGACGCATTTGAAAATAGCCTAAATAATGTAACACAACGAAAATAAACCTATATGCGGTCCTACAATAAAGCCTATTATTATTAGGATTGTTTTTTTAGGCTCTTTGGGTTTTTGTGTGTGTTTGTTTTAAAACGCCTAGATAGGCTGGACAAAAGTTAACCTATAGCTTTGAAAGTAAAGAAGAATATACAGCCTGTATAAACGAGAGCTTTTGTTAGGATTTTTCATTGTGGCAGATAGCAGTTATATTTTTTGTAGCGTGTGGTGTGGTCAGGTGCGCGATTGTGACTGTCACTATAGA